CATGTATTTCCTGCTCTTTCCTGGAAATTAGATGTTGTTTAAGTGCAGCTCAGGTGCTGAATCCAGCCTGGCAGAAAACATAACCCACTGTATTGATGTTTGGACAGTGAAAAGAACATCTAAGAGGACTTTTAGAAACAAAAAACGTGATGAAACTCAAGGATCAAATAGGTTGAGAGACACAAGATGTTTCTGGAAAGCAGAATTTGTTCAACAGGCTTCATATACACATTCCCTTGCTCCCATGGGAGTACTGAATCAAAAAAAAAAAAAAAAAAAAGTAATTTTAAGTTCCCCATTAATTCCAACCCCATAGGACCCCAGCTGGGTATCTGTTTTCCATGGGTACCTACAGAATAGAATGGTATTAAGGTCTTGTTTTGCCACTGTATGTATTGGAGAGACTACTTTGCATTTTAACATCCTACCCCCAAGGAGATGAGCCACCTGACTCACTAAGCCTGGGCCAAAGCCAACACTGCATCTGCACGTGCTGATTTTTGCTGTTTCTGTCTGCAGCTCCTTCTGGTGGTTATTCAGTGATTTGTTGTCTTATTTAAAAATAACATGCCACTCATCACTGAGCACAGACTGCCATGCCAAGTACACATATATTACTCCTCTGCCACTATGCAGTAACAACATCAGCCTCCCAACTGTCCAGAAAATCAAACTATAACTATTGCACCAGATCAGGCTCACTTTTAGTTCCCAGAAAATACTACAGATCCCTTCAGGCAGAGTAACACTTGCATACCCTCTAGGTTCCATGAATATTAATTTATTCTGTTGTTCCTCTTAATGTTGATGAATAGGTTGCTTGATTTCCAAATGTCTGTCAGCTGTTTGTGGAAAAACAAACTACCCTATGACCTAAGTGACCAATCAGCAACACAAAGGGACTGGTCAAAGTGAACTGTGGTTTAAAAGAAAAAGCTTGGAGGATTAATTGGAGTAAATGACATAACATTTGGAAATAACAAGTGAACTTGTAAAAATCACAGAACTAGAACTCTTCTGTTACTTAAATCTATTTTGAGGAGATAACTGAATTTCCTTTATTTCCCCGAGAATTTATCTTGGTGTTGTGCCATGCCCAGACCTCATCCTGCCAAGGCCCACCTGTGCTGTGGTGGGTGGGCAGGGCTGTGGCAGCCTCAACACCCCAACTTCATCTCACAGGCACCTTCCATCCACCCTGGACCACACTTGCACACAGACATGAAGAAAAAATTGAGAGTGCACCCCAGAGCGTGGTGTGGTACGTTTGAGGAGTTCCAACAGTTCCAGTTGGAAGACATGGATAGGTCATTTAAAACCTGGGCTTCACTCCTTGCTGGGAGTGAAACACATCAGCACACCTACACATCAGCACACCTCTGTGGTCTTCCCATGGTAGCAAAAGTCAGGTGTTTGCACCATGAGGACCCTCTCATTGACCCCAAAATCTCCCATAGCCAACAGTGTCTTTCAAAGCAGCAGTAAATGTATCAGCCATTATTCTAGTTGTAACTGGTAAAGTCTTCTCCTCATCTTTATCAAGAGACTCACAGCACAGCACACAAAAACCATGGCCATGAGTTGGACAGAATGGATGTGAGAAGAAATTCTAAGTTCTTAAAATAACCCACGAGCCTTGCCTGGAGATAAACCTAAAAGGAAATACATCCACTTTACCACATCACCGCTCAGCAGGCTCATCTATCGTGTGCTCTGCAGCAGCCTTTGGAGGGAGGTGGTTCATGCTCCTGTTCTCTCACACGCTCCACATGTAAACAGAGTCATTTCCTCCTCTCCTGAGACACCCCTCACACGCAGGGCTGCGGTGAGGGAGCTGCCTGTTGTTATAGTTACTGCCTGTGACTTTACCCCTGCCATTCTCATGGCATTTTCAGTAAATGGTGCTTAAACAGCAGTCTAGCAAAGGTTTGCAGAATAATGATTCACAAAAATTCTCTGCATAACCTCTTCATCCGTTTCTCCCTGTCCCTTACATCATCAGTGAGACCCTGATTCTCCAGCATAAGGAGCACAACAAAGGTCACTTCTCATATTTGAAAGGGTTTTTACTTCTGCTGCCTGGGAAGGTCATCATCACATGGGGGAAAAGCAGAGCTCTTCCCCTCAGGCAGCTCTCAAGAGACAGGCATGGAGCATCCAGGACATATCAGCCTGCAGATACTCCGTGGCTGCTGAGACAACCTGCAGCTCTGCAGGTCAAGTCTCTAAAGGGTCATGATTTTCTACCTCATTTTGGGCATCTCTTTTGTTAACCAGATACAGTCATGGTAACCCCACAAGAGGCAGGAATAACACAACCTGTAACATTCTCCCATCAGGACTGAGGATAAGCTGTGGGAATGAGAGAAGATACACGCCCATGAAATGGATTGGGCTGAATGATGCGACTCAGCTGCTTTCGAGATGCAAAGACAACAATTAACTGAGCTGATGACTCAAACAGCTCTTCATGCCTGGCAATCGGAGAAACCAGACTTTGGGAGAGAGGCAAGTAATGACTGCTCAGAAGCAGAGAGCAGGAGAACAGAATTAAGGGGTTTTCGCAGACACCAGACTCAGATGAATGAGCATTTAAGACAGAGTAATTAGAAGATGCTGCTTCTGCACCTTTGCCTGGAGTCCAGCAAAGACAACCAGCCCCTGATGGGAAACAGGCTGCCACAATGTGGTCCAAGAAGCTGCCTTCAGTCATCTTTGTCCAGTGAAATTGAACCCTGTGTACATTTAATGAATAGATTACACTAAACCTGATATATAAGAAGTGCTGTGACACCATCTTACAAATTTCTCAGCCAGACAGAAACCCTTCCATGAAGCGTGAATTTTTGTTACTACTCAACAAAACCCCCATGTTTTCTACATCTTTTAGAATATGTAAGTAGCTGATGAGAACAAAGCTGTGCTAATCTGATTTATCAGCTGCTTTTTGTGAAAGCAATTAGGTGTGGGATTCCCAAAGGACTTCATGAGAAAGGGTCCAGCAAAGATAATTAATGAATGTATATCGATTCTGCTGTGGAATTAGCATCAGGAACTTGTGTTCCTATATCAGCTTTGTGCTTCTCTCCATCTAATGTTATATCACTACACATGAAATAAATGTTAATTACCAGCACTGCACGAACAACCAGTGAAACTGCTGAAATGGAAGTCCAGTCCTGCAGCCCTCTCCCACCAAACACTTCCTGCAGTCCACAGAAGAGCCTGAAACCCAGCCAGGGAAGTTAATCCTAGTCTGCACATAGAATCTTGCATCAAGCCAGTGCTACTTTAAAATACACTGATGAAATTTGTCTTGTAACGAACCTTGTAAACAAAGCTGAAACTGGCACTGCATCTCCCTCTCCCCCACACGTGTTCTCCTCCAAGTTATGAACCCTGCAGCAGAGACAATCCCAGCTACAGAAGGAGAGCTGCACGCTGGCACAGAGAGAACAGAAGATGAAACAGGCCTGCCATGAAATGGATCACTGAGCTAGAGACACTGGAGCTGAACTTCAGCTGCCATAAATCAACCTCATTTCATGGACCTTTATCTCTGGCCCAGTTAACCCAGCAAGGCTTTGAATTTGAGCAGACAAAAGCTTTGGTATGCAAGAGATGTTAAAGAAATCAATCAACGTGAATCCTATCGCTTGCTTTCCATGCCACTTCAGGAGAAACTTGTCATTAACCTGCAATAATTACTGGCAGTTCCTCATTGCCATTGAAAAAAAATTTTATTCTATTCTGCTTTCTGTTGAGCTGTAGGATGCTCAAATTGCCAGAAGACTAAGTTAAAAATGGCTCATTCTCCATATGTGGTCCTTATTTTGCTACTTGTATTTTGTCGAGACTAAAACCCGGTACTATCATTTCAATTTCCAGGTGTGATAGATTAATTTTTGAATCACACCTTAGAATCACACTGATACAGCATGCAGAATGCTGCTTTTCTAAATATTAAGCTGAGCACTCTTGAACGCTGTCAGGGTTGATCCTTATTGTTTGCTTTGGAGCAACATAAAATGACTACTGAAAAACTATGTACTAAGGATCCCTATCCATTGAAAATGTTTTCTTCTATGACTGACCAGTATTAATCATTTTCTTCCTTCACACACAGAGGGATGTGCTGCCTTCAAAAGGAGACTTAATATATGAGGATTACCCACGTTTTGGATGTTTCTTTCTAAAGCAGTGAATATATAAAACATTGCCAGTGGTTGGTAACGTACTTAACACACTCCAATTACTGGCAGGAATACTTACAAATGACAAGAAAAAAACCAGAACACACAGCTGGGGTAGCGTGATAGGTCACACTCGAAGTGACAGGATTCAGAACTTCAAGGTTTTTCACAAAGACTTTATGTAACTCAGGAATGGCTTTGTAGCTGAGGATCCTTCCTACAGGTCATAGCTGTTCATTGCTCAGCCGTACAGCAGATTAGCTCTTGCTGTAACATTCTGTTCTGCCTCAGAATTTCTGCCCTAGAGCTCCCTGGAGAGGGACATCAAGATGATGTGTCTGCACTACAGCAAAGGACTGAAACCTAGCAGACTTTTGCTTGCTTCTAGTTATTTATAAGCATGTGTGCTTTCAGGATTTACTTATGAAAAGCAATTCCACTTAATATCAGTACAACAGCGTGGCAATAGTTCATATTTACAGATTGTAATGTAATTTCAGAAAGCCACAAATTCCTTTAGAAAGCACTCATCTATAAATCAACCTATAAATCAGCATGGCCACAAACACTGTAGGGCTGGAAAGAACACTGAGAGAGAGAATGCTGAGTGTTTTTAAGTCACACAGAAAATGTTTGTTCAGACTGGAAAATCAGCATCCAAACAGGACTGCCCACGTCTGCCCTGGGCATTCAAAGCAACGGACCCGCATCAAGGACTGTGCTTCACGAGCGCTGCGCTGCACCACCCCGCGCAGTGCAATAGCTCAAAAATAATAGCTCAGAATCGAACAGGAACACTACACCAACCTGTTTTTCACCACTGGGCTTCCTGTAATTCAGCAGCAGCTCCACAGCTCCCACCACCTCCTTGCGTATCGCGTAGAGCAGCGCGTCGCCCACGTACACGCTGTGGCTCAGCAGCAGCTCCATGATCTCCAGGTTCTCGTTCTCTATGGCTATGAGGAGGGCGCTGCGGCCGAGAGGATCCATGCAGTTAATGTTGATGTTGTAGTAGATCTCTGCCTCCTGCAGGGCGTGCTTGACGCTGGCGTAGTCCCCCTTCTCCACGGCGCTGAGGTAGGCCTTCTCCTCCGCCGACAGCTCCGCCTCCGCCCGCACGATCTGCAGCGGGATCCGGTCTCTGTACGGGGAGTAATTCACCTTTTTGTAGTATAGCTGGGCCATTGTTCATAGTGACCGGGCAACCTGCGAGGGAGAAGAACCACACGTAAGTGACAAAACAGACACAGAGGGGACAAACTTCCCAAGGTTGATACCTTGGAGATTTGATGTTTTGAGTTTTTAATTTTTGTAGATCTTAGAAGTAGTTATGTAGTAAATGTAGATTTTAGAGTAGCAGCATATTATCCCTTTACCCTTTAACACACCATCTCAAACCCCTGTTACCCATTCCCATATCAATTCCCTAAATTCCACAGCCTGTTTAGTCTCTTTTTCAAGGTAGAATTGTAGAAGAACACCCTAACCCTACGGAACAAGATATAGCCATAGACCCAACAACCTTCAGGCCTAGAATTCTGGAAGGCCTCCAAGGACATTACGTGCTCTGAGGAAGATGAAGAGGACAATGAAGAAGAGGGGGTCCCAAAACACCCCCAGACCCAATTCCCAAGAGGTGTGGCGGGGGCAGAACCTGGGTGGTGGCTGGACGGGGATTGGGCGAAAATCATTATAAAAACTGCAGACATCTGTATTTCAGGAGCGCTGGGGGTATTCCAGAAAGCCTGGGGGCTCATTAAAACTTTTGTATCCTTATCTTATCTCCTACCTAATTTGACTTGGAGTCTTTTTTCCCCACAGCCATTTATGCAACAAGGTCCATCCTTCTGATCCCTTTTTAAGATGTTTTGTTCTCAACATGGAGACCATAACAATCCTTGAGCCACATTAAAGGGCTTCCCGAAAGCATAAAGGTGACCCCACTGCCCAGGAGAGGAATGCAGAATGACAGACACCTGGTATATTTTTTAATCTCAAGTAAACACTATGCCATTGATTTCTTTTATCTGCTCAGAGGCACGATCTTGTTGGTTACGGATAACCCATCACATGTGCAAATAGGTGGATTTCTCATCTTCGCTTTATTTCCCACTCAATATTTTTTTCAATTCCTCCTTTTCCACTGATGATGCAGGTCCTCAGCATCTCTGAACTGTCAGTGATAAAAGCTGCTGATTTACACCCTCCTATTTACAGTAATAGATTCATTTTGAATATTTTTGCTGCTTCTCCTCTGCTTCCATGTCTTAAAATAGGTTTTTATTTTTCCTTAATGTTTACTCTTTGACTAGGTCACAGTTTTATTTTTAAAGCTTGAATGTTTTTAAACATATTTTCTCACTCTCCTCATTTATAAATAGGACCTAAAGACAGGCTGATGTAGAAAGCCCCCACCCTTGCTCTCCAAAGGCTGTGATGTTGTTTTCAGGTCTAGGAAAACGAGAAGTAAATTGTGCCCTGGAACAAGTGCAGCAAACTGAACAAATTATGGCTCCTTGAGAGCCTAAGAGGTGACTGGAGTAACAGGAAACATGGGCTCGACAGGTTTTCACAGGTAAGGAAAAAAAGGAACTAAGCCTGTCTACCTCTGTTTGGCATTGATGAACGACCCCAAGTCAGGACCAGGGGACAGCAGCAGCTATAACTAATTGGACTACTTATTCCATCTCCTTGCACAAAGCTCAACGCCTTCCTGCAGCAGATTAGCCAGAGTTTTGTTCCATTTCAGTGCCCTATCCAGGGAAAAAGGGAGGTTCCTGTGGTCCTGACGGGGATTTGGGGGTGCGAGGCCACGGGCTGCCGTTGCCGTCGCCTCCTGCCGTGGGGGAGCCGCGTTCCACGGAGCCCACACATTTGCATTTTGCCTTCAGCTCCAGAGCACTGGGCCTGGTGTGGTGGGAGTGGGTGGATCTGAGCTCCAGCCCAGCTGACACTGCAGAACAGTGGGTGGCTGCAGCGTTACAGCCAAGTTGCATCTGCGAACTTCCCGGGGAGCCAGAGATCTGTACCAGCCAGTTTGGCATCTCACAGAACACGCTCGCTCTGTATCCCGCTTTCCTACAAAAGTGTAAGGAAAGTTTGTTTGTTACAGATCCAGAGCTGCTCCCACGTTGCTCACACGTGTCTCTGCACGTGCAGAATCATGGAATCCAATGTTTCAACCTCAAGACACACACAAAGGTATCTGAGGCAGAAGGACCATAATCTGAATAAAACCCATAAATATATTGGCTTATTTTCCATGGAAAATTGTGCCACTAAAGCTTTTAGAACTAAGGAACAATCGCAGTGACTCAGAAGCTTCAAGTTTCAATAAACTACACATAGAACCAACTACTCTGATTTCGAAAAGGATCGAGGCTGACAGGTCATTTTCAAATTTTGTTTTTGAAGACACTATTCACGAGGGGCCCAGCTAACTCCCACTGAAACACTGACAGGGCACAGGAGGATGAAGCACAGCTCTGCTAACAACTAAGGACCAAAGAGATCTTTGGGACAGTAAGGATAAATGCAAGGGGAAGGGAAATTTTGTCCTAGTGTGACAATCTGTGCTGATGGGAGCAGTGGGACTGGTCACAGAGGACAGCAGTCACCGTGTAGAGGTCTCCAGGGGGAATATGTTGGCTCCAAAAAACCTGAGGGATTCTGGTGATAAGTGCAGCTACTAAAGTGTATTCTTTCACCGCCCTTCAGTTTAATTGAACATTTTGTAGATGGTGAGTAACATTTGCAATGAGTTATAACAAATGTCACCTCATGAAACATCATGCCAGAACTGAATCCCTTTCCTTTCCAACAGTTTTTGTAGAAAGAAAAGAAAGCTTCATATATCTTAACTCCTCAGTGGGATCTCATCTCCCAGTACAACCCCAGTTCAAGAAAGAATTTTGTAAGTACTTCAAGCACATAAGAAGCTGCAATAAAACCAAACAGGAAAGACTAATGATTGATTTTCCTGAATGATTTTCCTGAATTCTTCTCAGGCCAACACTGCATAGCCTAACAAACACATGCTGCTGACTGGGGTTGGAAATGAGAGCATGCAGTATCAAAAAAAAACCAAACCACAAAACACCACAAAAAACCCAACTGTCTGCCTGAATTACATGGAAGATTTCAGCAAAACCTTTGGCTGTTGAGCTGAAAATTGTCTGTTAGGGCATCAGTCAAACCTGTGAAGGGAATGAACAAGCACAACAATCCCTGCTCTAGCTGTTGCTCCTCAATACCACCAGTCCCCCAGGGGCAGCATCTCCTGGTGAAGCAGACAATGTTGGTAGACCCCAGACCACCTGTTTGTCCAAGATTGGTCATGATTCAGGCTTAACAGTTAAAAAAATGACAAAAATATTGATGAAATCCAGGGAAGAGAACGGGCAGGCAATACACAGGTGCTGCCTAGAGAGAAACAGCAACAATGTTCTTGAAAGGCAGCAAAAATAGAAACATTAACATTTTGGAATCTGTGCAGACAGCCTGAAAATGCATGTTTTCCATATGAATTCTCTTCACAGAGAGGCGTTTTCTGCTACTTGAGTTAATATTTGGGGCAAAGAAAGCATTTCCAGGCTATGCCTGATTGCAGATGCCTCAGACAATATTCAATGACTGGCCAAGGCAATGGTGATACCTGCAGCACAAACAGGTGGAGAGAAACAAGAGAACCTCATAATAAACTACAAAAGACACAGGAAGAGGACTTAGCACTCAATTTGGACTCTATCACCACTCTCCAGCTGGGATGTCCCTCTCCCTGAACTATAACTCCAAATCTCCAAGCCATTTCAGCCTGACACCACTTCTGTGTTGCCTGGCACAGAAATCAGAGTTTTGGCCCCTAAAGAGCAGCCATACCCGGCAGAAACAGCTTGTCTGGCTTGGGAAAGGAAGGTTTCTGGCCACATTACTTTGTCTGATAATTTAAAATGGGTTTTCTATGGCTGCAAAACCTTCTCTGCACCTTTCACCACTCAGTTCAGACCTTATCTATGCCTTACACCAACAGTGCCACTTCTTTCACTCTGAAGAGTGAATGGCATCACAGCTGCCACAGGCAGGTTTGCTGGAATCTCCTGCTGCCTGCTTTTGGACTGGACTTGTGGGATGGAGATGTTACAACCACAGGGGAATGGCATCACTTAAGTCAAGGGTTGGAAACAATGGCTTTGGCTGAAAATAAAGGAGTGGCTTTATACATACCATCTGTATGGCATCTGCAATCACCACTCTGCAAGACACTGCACTGTGAGTCTCCCACTCTTCCAGCACAACTCAAAACCAAATGATCAGCTCATCACACTCACGGATCCTGCCCAAGTGAACCGGTGATCGCTTCAACACCAAGGGGGAAGCGACAACGGAAAGAGAAAAAAATGACCTTTCTTTTCTAATTTTCTTGTTAGAGAGAGAACATGATGAAAACTGCAGAGTCTGCAGAGATATGTGGTAGCACAGGCAAAGGCCAGGGGGCAGCCTGAGCAATGGGCAAGCAGCAGGGAGGAAGGGGCAAGGAAAAAGAAGAGCAGGGGAGCAGCAGTGAGCAGAAACCATTAGCTAGAGAGATGGTTAATGAAGACAGACAGACAAAGGTCTCTCAACAGCACTGCCTTTTGCCACTGAAAATTCCATGAGTTGTCACTACAAATTTTTTTAGGATCTGTCAGCAGCTGAGCCACTTCACCTTACAAGCTCCCACATGCCACTGTCTCGTGGGAATCAGAAGGACCTGCAGGAAATGGTATAACTGTAAAGGAGGGAGCCAGTGCCAGCTTATATCCATGTATCACTAGGCTCATTATAAAGTAGGACCTTCCTGGATTTTATTTGCTTTTATCATCATGATGCTGACTCAGAGGTGGAAAAGTACCGCTGCTCCTGATGGCTGAGCTCCCTCTGTAATGAGAGCAGCACAGACATGTAGGGGTACAGAATTCAGCTATCAGAACTCACTGCTCCCAGCTGATGTGAGCATCTGACAACCCGAGGAACTAATCAAACACGGATCTTGAACACAAGATCAATAGGAAAGAGTTGCCTTTCCCTCTTGAGGGGACTCTGCACGAGCAGCCAACTCACATCACAGGTTAGAGCAGACAACAAAGCCCCCCATGTACCAAGCTGCAGAGTGGCTGGCTGCTCCCTCCCACCGGCGACTCGCTCTGACACAGGTTGGCAAAACTCTT